AAAAAAAAAAAAAAAAAAAGAAACGAAAAAACATCCACTTCAAAACGTGAATAGTACGTATGAGAAGAAAAACAAAATTGCAGTTTGGCATTCATTTGTACAAAAATTCTGTCTCATTAAAGCTGCACATTTCTAAGCAAAAAAACGGCAACCAATATTTGTTTACATCGACAGTAACAGTAAAACTGCAAAACAGCTACAATTCAAAGTTGAAACAAATGACTAATGTTCTACAACTATTACTACTCTTTCGTCACCCACCTTAACGAACAACAATAATGCACAGCAATATTTACCTTTAGCACTAAAGAATTTTACAACTCCTTCTACTTCCCTTATGCTACAAAAAAAAAAAAAAACCAAAAAAAGCTCCTGAAAAATTTCAGAAAGAAATTGAAGCGACGCTACATGATGGATGGTCGCAGAACAATAAATCTAAATTCTTCGACTAATTTATTGGTATAGTATCACAACAATTAAACAGCCGTAACAGTTGTTGAAGGCGCCTGAGCATTCTGTGTTTTGCAGGAATATATTTCAGGCACAGCATCAAGCACTTCTTCTTCTTCTTTTCCTCGTTGTCGTTGTTATATCACATTATTAGATTAGTTCAATAGAGTAGTTTCCACCTCTTCCAATTCTCTTTTTTTACCCTCTTCTTCCTTGCAAACGTTCCATTCGTATTCAACAGTTTTTAAACAGTTATTAACCAATAAAGCCCATCTTCAACAGCCAGCCATTTAGTCTGCTTACCTTGGTACCCATATTTAACAATATAAGCATTAAGCCAACTAAATGCAGTCATTTTTTTTTTTTCTTTTATTTGCATTCGAGTAATGTCAAATTTTGCTGGAAAAATTCCCAGGACATTCGTTTGGCCTCAGTGACAGATGTGTTTGGCCTGATACGTACGTCTGTGTTTGTGTGTGTACGTATGCAGAACGAAAAACGTTGGCGACAGTTTCCCAGCAGCGGATGCAATAATTGTAATAGGCGATTACAAAGGAAACAAAAAAAAAAGAAAAAAAAACCTTGCATTTTTTCTCTTTTCAACCTTCAACAGTTTTTTTTTTTTTTTCTCCTGATTTTCTAAGATTGTATAGTAAATGTAAAATATATATATATCTTTTTCTTGTTATTGGTAGAAAGAATAAAATAAGCAGCAATTTTTCTTCTGATTTCAATATAAATTTTTAGATTTTGTTAGCAAAGAAAAAAAAACCTTCATATTTCCAACATT